TGGAGGCATTTAATAAACTTAAAATCGATGTCAAAACCGTTATGAGTGGACGAGACCATCCGAAAAAGTCAAAATCAAAGAAAAAGAAGACACCCAGTAAATAGCGAAATGTGAATGATCCCACGAAGATGCGACCAAAAGGAATATCCAATGCATGGTTAAAAGGGTACTGGGAAAAAAACAAGAGATGCAAAAGTAAATGTTACCTATAATATTAAGTTCTGTTTTTTTTTATGAAAGATTACTCGCTAACATGTAATATTGTATACAGGAAATGAGAAAGATAATGTTTCAAGTCATGATAACATTCCAAAATGTGATCCACATTTATTTTTAATGGCGGATCACTTTAGTCAGGTTACGAAATCCTTCTGAAATTTTGTCTACTCAATCTAGACTTCTTTCCTGACATTTACTCATTAATAGTATCAATATACAAGAATTTTCTCAAAGACAACAAAGAGGGACATACGATTTTACTGATGAGCATACATGATAATATATAAACTATTTATTCAAGAGTTTTTATTGTTGTATTATTGCTGTTTAAGTTGAAACAGACATTTGTTTTACTGTGATTCATTTAGGAGTTATTATGGCGGCATATTCCTATAAAACGAGTGCTCGTGATACGATTTATATGAATAAAACCTGAATACGACCGTAAAGAAACCAAAACACAACTAGCGCTGTTGTCGTAAGACAGGTTTATTTCTGTCGATCCGCCTGGTTTCATTGAAATCTTTGGCGGCATATTCCAATAAAACCAACGTTCGTGTAACGCTTCATAAGAATAAAACCTGAACACGACCGTAAAAATACCTAAGTACAACCAGCGCGGTTGACATACGACAGGTTTATTTCTGCCGATCCGCCTGGTTTCATTGGAATCTTTGGCGGCATATTGCAATAAAACCAGCGCTCGTGAAACGTTTTACACGAATAAAACCTGAACACGACCGTGAAGAAACCAAAATACAGCCACCGCGGTTGCCGTAAGACAGATTTATTTCTGCTGATGCGCCTGGTTTCATTGGAATTATTGACAACATATTCCAATAAAACCAGCGCTCATGAAACACTTTACACGAATAAAACCTGAACACGACCTTAAAAATACAACCAGCGCCCGTGAAACACTTTACACGAATAAAATCTGAACACGATCGTGAAGAAATCAAAATACAACCACCGCGGTTGCCGTAAGACAAGTTTATTTCTGCCGATCCGCCTGGTTTCATTGGAATCTTTGGCGGCATATTCCAATAAAACCAGCGCTCATGAAACACTTTACACGAATAAAACTTGAACACGACCGTAAAAATAGCTAAGTACAACCAGCGTTCGTGAAATGCTTTACATGAATAAAACCTGAACATGACCGTGAAGAAACTAAAATACAACCACCGCAGTTGCCATAAGACAGGTTTATTTCTGCCGATCCGCCTGGTTTCATTGGAATTTTTGGCGACATTTTCCAATAAAACCAACGCTCATGAAACACTTTACACGAATAAAACCTGAACACGACCGTAAAGAAACCAAAATACAACCAGTGTGGTTGACATAAGACAAGTTTATTTCTGTAGATCCGTCTGGTTTCATTGGAATCGTTGGCGGCATATTCCAATAAAACCAACGTTCGTGAAACGCTTTACATGAATAAAACCTGAACACGACCGTAAAGAAACCAAAATACAACCAGCGCGGTTAATCTATTACAACAATATGAATACTGCAGAGGTAAAATCACAATATAACGATAAATCTATACAACAAGACCAGCAATAGATTAATGTCCCATTTGCAATACAACCAAATACGCAACAATTAATATGAATGTTTGATTGGAAATAAATTTATTACAATAAAGTCCACACATCAGTTCAATCTTTTTTAATGGAGGAGATCCAAATGCAGATTTCATATGCTAATTCAGCCCGAAATCTTGCCATTTCATCCTGCCACCGCAGCTCTTTGCTCCAATCTATTGCTCAATCAACTGGGTTGGCCTCAACTAGTTTTTCAATAAATGCTGTTACTTTGAGTTGGTACGCCCTTAACCATTGTCAGCCCCCATGATCTAGGTTTTCTCGTACCAAAACATAGTCTAACATCCGCTGCAAACATTAATATCTACAAAGGTGGATGACACCTTTTTTATTGCATGACAAAATCAGAATGTTATTGACATATTATGTAGTTTATGACTTACAACGTGCTCGCATGCTGCCTTATGTTTTTTGTTAGGTAATGAATCATATATTCTCCATGGTGATAAATCATATATTCTCCATTTCTTATCCTTCAAGTTAACAATCAACAATATCCACTGCTGGTTTTCAACAATGGGAAACAAGATAATCTCAGCATCTTTCACTGCTTCCTTCGTAATGTGGTGCAAAAACCTTAAGTTGTCACCACCTTCCATTTACCGTTGTCACCATCTTCCATTTTCCGATATGTCTGCATGAATTGACACACTTTAATATAATTATCGACTGCATAAAAGATCTTATGACGAACATTATTCTATTTGTATACATAGTATAAAGAGGAAACGTATAAATATCGCCGGAATGATGTTGGAGTTTGAGTCTTCCTCCCATGAAGAATGAGGGCTAATGCATCCATCTGGTCATTCCCAACTCATCCATTGCACAAGACATCATCCATCACACCCCGATCAATATAGATTGAACTATCTCTTAGGTGGACAATAAAGTCATTCCTAAAGGGTAAAAATAATATCTATATCACCTCACATTAATAAACTTGTGATGAAATGACCAATTGAATGCTACTCACTTTATAGGGTATTGTGACAACACTGATCAATTATTGTTTGCATTTCCTTAGATATCAGTGCTCGCCCCGGAAAATTTACGTGTCTCTCAGTCAGTGAGGACTACACATAAACAAAGCTATTGAAATATCAAATGAAATAAACTACATATAAGAAATTAATCCAAATTAGGTTAGAAATACCGATGTTTCAGATACGTCCACTGCAGGTGGTATCGGTGCATGTACTGGAGGTACATATACTACTAACTGCAAAGCTGTTTCAGTTATTGGTGAGGTACATATACTACTTTCTGATTGCGTATCATGCTTCACGAGTTGTATATGACGGTTGTCGTTCCTCTGCTGCTTTTTTTTTCTGACAATAAAGCCGCTAATAGTATTGCTCATATTCCGGTCCAACATGATCGTATAAACATGTAGAAATTGGCCGTCACTTTATCAAGGAGAAACTTGATTCTGAGAAGATTTGTGTTCCGTTTGTTCTATCTGCTGGTCAGCTGTCCGATATTCTCATGAAGACTTCTTTGCCCGTTATTTAATGAGTTCAAGTTCGAGTTTAACATGATTGACATCTATACTTCAATTTGAGGGAGAGTGTTAGTAACTATATTAGGGTTTTATTTATTTCCTGTTATTTCTTATTTATTTTGTGTTATTTCCTATTTATGCATTTCTTTTTGTTTTCTGCTAATTATAGAAATTTTTGTTTTTAGTTTATTTAATTTGATTATTGTCATCTTAGAGATATGAGTGTTTCTTCTTTCCTAAGTTAGCATTCTAATAAGTTATATTTAAGCCAACATTTCATATCTCAATAAAAACATTATGCTCGGCTCTCCAAACAACACTCCTCATTCAAGCCTATGATTCTACCACTCCAATTAAACCATCAATTTGTTAGAGGAAAATATCAAAACCCAAATTTAGAATAAAAAAAAATCAAAATTCTTACTTTACCCACTTTCTTCCTTAACTTCTCTCCCTTTCCTTCTCTTCTTCTTCATCTCGTCTTTTTCTCCTTCACTATTTCCTTTCTCTGATTTTTCCTTCAGGCACTCTCTGCCATTGGTTCCCCCTCTTTTCGGCTCCTAAAGGCTCAAGGAAATGAGAAATACGGGAAAGATGAAGGCTGCTAAGTGCTTAATTTTATAAACCTATTATACTACTGTAATTACGTAGCAAATCTTCTGTAGCCATCCCAGCCGTCGGTTACCAAATCCGCCGATTTGAATCAATGACGTATTGCCCTGCAGATTAGCAAACAAGATTTGTTAATTGAGTAGCAGCCGTAAGCAACTAAAACCGGATTTGTAAGGAACAAATTTGTTAAATTTCGTTTTAAAACTACATTTCTTTTGAGAATGTCCATGATTCTCAGAGATTAATGAGGAAATCGTACCCTCATCTTAAAAATAAGGTTCCAAGTTACCTTTTATTATTGTTGTTCTGTTCATTTTGTAATTGTTTAATTGAGGACATTTTGTGCATATTATAAAATAGTTGGCCATGATCTAGGATTGTACCAGGACCAGAGCCGTTAGTGATTACGTTACATGATACTCCAAGAAACACTATGCCTCAAGGTTCCACTAAAACTTACGTAAGAAAACTGAGTGCAAGATATATCTTATCCATTTAGTTTCATGTCCAATATTCATGACATTTGATTGGACTTCTCAGATGAGAGTTCCATTTTGAAGATGTTTGTCATCATGATTAATGTCTTACGTTTAGTTTGCTTATTCAATATTTTTTTGTTAATATCTGTTTAATCAGTGTTGATCTGTGTCAAATTCTTCACTGTAATTGTTGCATTTATGCTACCAGTTAATTTTTAATTTCTGGATTCTCTGGCATTGCATCTTTTCTTGAAGATATTTGATTTTCATAATGATACTGCTTTTTTCCCTGTAAAATTTGAACTCTTTCTGGTTTACTTTGATATTCATCGTTACATAACAAACTTGTTCTTTAGTTTATGATTTGACTTTTTGACATCTAGCTTATGCTTATTTTTTTATATTGGGTTCATGTCTTTTTTTTATCTCTCTCTTGAAATTATTTTCCTCTGTACTTGACACAATTTTTTGACTTTAAGTTTCATGCACAATCTCTTACTCTTGGGATTTTCAACGGTTACAATTTTTCAGTTCTATCTGTAATATTTATATGGAAATCCTGCACTTAATCAGGTTAAAGTGCATGTAGCTCAAGCTAGGAAAGCACAGAAGACATGGGCAAATAGTAGCTTCAAGCAAAGGCGTCAGTTTTTACGAATTCTTCTGAAGTACATAATTGAACATCAAGCGCTCATATGCGAGTATGACCACTTATTCTTGTTTCTTTATAGCTGAATAACTAATTCATTGGTTTTTACTGAGATATCAGCACTGACTTCATGGCCTAACCTATGAAACCTATTTTTGATGGTTAGAACAACTCGAGAAACAATTCCTGTTCTTTTTATTATGCTGAGATTCTTATGTTACTTGCTGGAAATATGTTTGAGATGCAGTAGTATTCATTGTTGATTTTTATGTATTCAATGTGTGGCATGAATTACTTGGGATGTCTCATCTTCTTGTCAGTGCCAATATTGTTATATTGAAAGTACCATCATTTTGATCACTAACTGTTTTTGTTACACAGGGTCTCTTCTCGAGATACTGGAAAGACAATGGTAGATGCGTCCTTGGGAGAAATAATGACAACATGTGAAAAGATAACATGGCTTTTGGCGGAGGGTGAGAGATGGCTGAAGCCTGAATTCAGGTTAAATATCCAATTTGATTTTTCCTGGAAGTGCAAAATAGGATAAATTTCTGATGTTATTATTAGTGATTTGGTTTAACTGTGTGCAATTTGTGTGTCCTATTAGTAAGCTGATATTGATAATTCATGTTTTTCATTTGAATGATCATAAAAGTTTTTAATCAAATTATAACCGAGCAATATTAAATTAAAATCTCATTATTTTTATCTCTCGTAGTCAGTTGCTTACAAAGAACCAAGGTCTGCGCTATCTTCCAATTCTTATGCTCTTGGCTACTGTAAACCTTCCATAACTCGTGAATGTTTGTTAACTTTTATCTCCCTTAAGCTAATTGTTGTTTTCTTAACCACTCTAGTTTCATATCCTATTCTTTACATTAAAATGCTAATGCAGATATGTGGTAGCTTTATGAATTAAGCTATCACTTGTTTTCAAAGCTGTTTCATTTTCATATCTGACTCTTGTATGAAAATGCCATTATAAGTGGTTAATAACTATTGAGCAATTTGCCCCACTAAGATCAGTTTGCATGATTCATCATTATCATCAAGTGACTCTTGAATAATTAATTGGTTTCCCCAATGCAATTAAAAGTGTGTAATATTGATTGGAAATCCAGTGTTTTTTATTTCTCGCTTATAGGAAACCAAAATGACAACTACATACCAAATCACATGCTCTTTGGTCAGCATGAAACTACTGTCTGATAAGTTTCCACTTGTGAATGATTGTTATCTTCAATCCTCCATAGATGATATCTTTTTCTTAGACAATTTTTTTCATATGACTAATTATTTTTTATTAAAATGTCAATTTAGGTGGTTAATGATTTCACAATAGGGAGCAATTTTCCTGATCGGGAGAAGTTTGTAAGAGTCATCATTATTGCCATTTGTTATATCTTTACTGTTTTGGGGATTGGCTATTATCCATTCTTTCATGTTGATTACTATGTAAGGCACTCTCTTTTTCACTCAAGTTTTTTGTTTTCACTACATGCCATGTTACGATTGATTCAACCCTTTGTTACTTCTTAGTCCTTCCGTTTTAATTTTATCTACTTACATTATTGATTTATATAATTTACCCTTCATTCTTCATGCCCAAACCATCTATCTTTTTCTCTGATTGATTTTAGTAAATGCTACTCCTAACATCCCAATCTTAAAATCCTTTCACACTATAAACTATAATTTTATCTTACATTTACCGTAAAATTCTCATTTTTACTAGACGTATATTGGGTATCGAAGAATTTATTGTTGTCCAAACTCAACTCCATGTAATAATCATGCTTGTTATGGCTTTATAGATTTTTTTTAAGTCATTAATCCCTAACCTCAAGTAATTTGATTTTTGTGGTAGAGAGAGGTCTTCTACCCAAGGTATTTAATTCACACAAGGCTTTCAATCCTACCGAGGGCAAGAATTCTACTAAGGATGATGATCAGCAATTTCTTTTTAATACAAAGCTTAATTTTATAACCAAAAAATGTTTTAAGTATGAAAAAGAAAAAAATGCATAAGATAGTAAAGAAAATATGAAGGCTGAATCTTTCGGATGATGAAAACTAAAAAAAAATACTTATTTGGAACAGTTTGTTTGAATCGCGTTGAATATAGGAGAGTTAATTTAATTTTTTGTCTTTTTTTTGTTTCAACTAGCGAACAAGATTTAGGCCTCTGATACCCTAAATTTTCATCGCTTTGAAAGCTTCCATCTAAAGCGTGAAGTTGCTATGACTGGTCATCAATGTCTGTACTAGTTGGAGTGAGATGGAGTGCTTCAATGGTAAGAAGGCTATTATTAATGTTCTTACTTGTAGATGTTGTAGTGATTTAAAGGCATGCAAAATAGGCATTGATTCCATACGATATCTAAAACGTATTTCAATTTTTTAGCGTATGCTTGCTTTAATGAAGCTGGAGCTACATACATAGTGGTATAAAGTAAAATTTGAACAACTATTTGTGCCCCTTAAGCCTGCAAGTTTGATTTCCTAAATTTAGAATTGGCATAGAAACATTCAAAGTAATTCTGCTTAAGATTTTGTAGGTGCGAAAATAAGGGATGTCTTCCAAGTCAATCTTCTGCGAAACATTCCATCCCTCTTTTGCAAGCATATTAGCTTCAAATTCAACAAAAGTTTGACTGCACATGGCCTAGTTAGATGAGCCATAGAAACTTCACTTGAAATAATTTACTAAATATGTAACTCAGGGAATATAGAATTATTTGACTGACAATATATTTAGTTGAGGATATGCGATCCAAATAGGCGTCCTAAGTGGTTTTTTATCCTAAGTGGTTTCTTATAAAAGTCAAAATGACGAGATAATTTTGGCATTTGCATAAAAAATTCACTGACATAGTAGGATCATCAATAAGAGTTTGGTGTTATCCGCTTAAAATAGCTATATGATGATATGGCAATTTAATAAACCCAATGGAGATGTCAGTAAGTATAAAATTTACATGAATTTATGAATATTCTCTGGGATAGGTCGACTCTATCGCTTTGTATGCCGCGATCTTTCCCTCAATCCCGTCGTTCACTTCTCTGTGGAAACTTTGACTCTCAGATCGCAACTAGGGTACACCTGATCTTATCTTTTCTTCCCAGAGCTAAATGCTCTGATACCAATTTGATAGGAACTCGATCAGTTTTTCTCAGAAATTAGGGCAAACAAATACTTTAATGCTTTAATCTCAAGTAATACAACTCAAATAAAAAAAAAATGAGCAACTACAATTCGAGAGATAGACGATCTTTCCCAACACATACAATTCGAGAGGTACATGCGATATCTCCCAAGCCCTAACTCCTAAGACTCAAGATATTAATCTCATGAATAAACTCACATATTAGCCCTATTTTATATTTCACAATAATAATAATAATAATAATAATAAAAGATTAAATTACTCTTAGGCTAATAAAAGACAAAATTGCCCTTAAGTGTCGGTTGACCATAATCCAATTATAGTAGGCACAATATTCGATGATATGAAAGCAATAGGAGCCTTTAAGAAGCTAGGGTCTACTGGAATTGGATATTCTGACGTCAATAAATAAATTGTCAGTTCCACAAAAGTCATAGGTGCAATTGGCCTGGGAGATCAGGATGAGTTGTAATTGATCAGAGAGAAAATGAGCACCAACATATGCTCCCTTGTGGAGATGAAGATGCTAGTGAAAAAAATTGATTCAAAGAAAGGAGAAGCTATTCGAATGGAAGAGAAATGAGTAGCGAGCAAGAAGGATAACAAGATTCCTTTCCTCATTGGCTGGCTAGAAAACATCAACAGCAGCAAAAATTAGTTGGGTGTAACAACTAATAGAACTATGCAAACGCTCCCAATGCATGGGTGTGGAGCAAGGTGTGGAATGTGAGATAAAATTTTCACTTGAGGAACCTAGAGCAACAAGCATGCAAGCCAAATGTATTTGTGGCTTGCTTCCGTGAAGGATGTGTATATTAAAATTAAAAAGTACAAAAGAGAACTATAAAAGCTACACCAAAGGAGCAATGTGGTTAAAAGCGGCCTCCACCACACTCGAAAAAACTGGGTCACAGGGTGAGACTGCCAAAGAAAAGACCTATCCAAAGCCATCCGAGAAAAAAAATTGGCTGCTTTGTTACATTCCTTATGAGTAAAAACAAAAAGAACTTGTCTGCTGAGAAAGAAAAGCTATATCAAGACCACTCTCAAGCTGGTGCTACCTACCTTCACCTTCAAGTTTTCCTGAAACATATTAATGATTGCTTCATTATCCCCTTCAATGATGATCCCCTTAGTTTCAAACATCCAAACTTGTAGTAATGAGCTAAAAAACATAACCGCTTCATACTCAACTTGTAATCTATCCCAATATAGGAGATTCCTTCCAGCCACAACAATAATCCCCCCTACCTCATCTCGGATCACCACATCAACCCCGACAGAGGTTAAATCCAAGCCTAATGTATGTGTGGCTTGCTTCTGGGCGCTTGGTGAGACACTAGAGCACAAGGGCGTTAAGAGTGCAAGCATCCCATAGACTCAGGTGCTAGGTTGCTTGAGACGGTGCATAGGGAAGACTGTTGTGATAGGGTAAATCATAGGGTCTGGGGTCGTGTTTTTGGGTTTGGTCAAGGATCATCCTTAACAAAATATTGTGTTTCAATGGCAAACCCTAGATATTAGCTTTCAGTAGGACATAAATGGTTGGGGAAATTGTTTTGTTAGCCTGTCAAACTTAAGATGGGAGGTTTGGAAAAGTGGAGTATGATTCATACTATTCTCAACTTATCCTAGCTACTACAGTACACTATTGAAAGAGAATCGAACAGCTACAGGAGCTTGCTGCACCTTCTTAGGTGGTGCATCCATGGGTGTGCGCTGTATGGAAACAAGTGGTGCCTTACCCTTTGGTAATGGGATGGATGAATGTTCACATAGAAAGCAAATCTCAAGCTCGTGCTGTATTAGGAACTATTGTGCTGCAGGTGTAACCGAGCAAGACACAATAATGCATGAAACTAGCTATTCTGCACTGTGTGTGCACTCAAGATGTTACATAATGCCCCTACCCTGAGCGTTGCAGCTCAGTTGCTGTAGAATTTCAGCACGGGTCCTTGTGCACAAGATGTTCGATTAAATACCTCTCCACAGTTTCAAGAACCAGCATCTGGCTGGTAATAAGCAAGGCAACTTTTTTTCACTTAGAGCTATGAAACTTACTATGGAGTAAGCTAGGAGTGGCTGCGAGCTCCATCCCTCCAAAACCAGAGCCAACAGAGCAAGAGCTTGGCAAATGTGAAAACACTGGAAAATTGATGCAGTGGAAGATGCTAACAGCCTAACAACATTTCAATGGATGGAATCACTGTTTCATTTAGCCAAGAAGCAGTGGATGCAAATTTATGTAAATTTAGAGATGGCCTTAGTTAGAAAACCTTTTGGGTGCCGCCCACCTTACATATTTCTTTGAAGGTAGTTCTTTGAAGGAACTAC